TGACACTTCATAGGACCTAGATTTTTCCTCGTCGAGCTCACTTGACGTGTTAGCGAGGCGAAGAGAGGTCGCTAAGGCTGATCTAAGCAGCCCAAATCGGTGACGAACCTAGCTAAGCTGTGGCTGAAGTCGAAATTAGAACCTTACCCTTTTTATTTACTCCCTACTATAATTTTAACGGCAAGGAAACATAACTAATATCAGTCCCTCCGACGGGTGTTGCAAAACTCCGGACCGCATGTGTCTGCGGTGGGGAACGAACGCGCTATTGTCCTTTCCGAAGAGTAACGCGTTCTGCGCGGCGAGCCCGCACGTATACGTCAGAAATCTGGTCGCTGCGCAAGCATTATGAAAGATTACTCAGCGTTATTGAACGCGCAGTCGAAAAGACGATGCTAGGAGTATCCCGTTTCACACAAGTAAGGGAAGGGATCCGTAGCTCCGACCTGCGTCAAAGATCAAAAATCAAAGATGCCGCTCTGTACGCCAAACAGTCGAAGATAAGGTGAAGGTTTTTTTCGATAAGGATGTCCGAGCACGTTATGCGCATGAATGACAACCGATGGACAACAGCCGTTAGTGACTGGATTCCTCGAGGTGTTAAACTCACTGCAGGAAGACCACAGACTCGATGTTCAGAGTTCTTCACGAAAAGCCTAGAAGAAAGATATGACGCTCGACGAATCGCTAGAGCCAGCAGGACCCACTGAGCTACTCTTTCACACGGCAAGGAAAAATGGAAGATTTACTAGCGCTCGCTCGATTCACTCGATGATCCGCGGGATTACAGGTGATACAGGTGATAGACAGCCTAATTACCTATGCATAAGATTGCGCTCGGTGGTGACGAAAAAGGCCCGCATGGAAAGTTTATACGAACTCGAAGATTGTTTTGATCCAGCGATAATTCCATTCTGATGGCGGATTTGAAGAACTCTATTCCACAACAACTGCTATAACATGTACATTGTAGTGTAGTAGACTTATTACACTGTTATTATAAGCTCACATGTGCCTCCTTATTTGCTATCTTCATTGTGCTGTTATGGTATGCTGAAGATGTTAATACTTGGCATGCTACAGACAAAATTCTCTAGAAAATAACAATCGTTGTCGCTCAACTCTCAACTAAATCCACACATACTTTCTCTCTTACAGTATCTCCAACTGAACTTTGTGTACCAGTTACTATATAGCATTCATACAAACCTTTTGTGCAAGCAGCTTCATCAGATTCTACCAACAAAGAAGTACTCTAGAATCTCTCTTCGAGCATTAACTCTACTCTTCACTATCAACACTACGCCAATCAGAAAATCTATATAAGTCCCGGTATCATTATTCATCTCTCAGTTCACTCAGATAATGCTCCTACAGTTTTCAGTTTTCTTGATTGAGACTGATCGAGTTGTGGTCCACATGGAGCTTCTTTCCCATATTGCACCATAAGTGTATTGCAGAAGCTGTATTGGTGTTCCCAATGTAATTGCTCGCTCACTGGCTTATCTTTGCTCTTTTACTCCATTATCTTCTTCGCTTTTGTACTGGTTGCATTTCTTGACGTCATCATGTCGTTATTACTTTGTCACTGTTGTCGTAAACGGTTTAATTATTCAAGATACAGACTTCCTCTGTGACAACGACAAAACTCTTGCGTGGCGTATTCTCACGAAGTCTAGCATTCTATGCGATTACTCGGTTCTGACAATGGACTCGAAAAAATTCTATCCACAAGCTAACAGCTATAGCATCTCTCCTTGTTCGGTAGATTACTACCAGGTTTGTTTGGGCTGATACGCTTAACAAAACCGTGTACTCAACGAAGTCGCAGAGGATTGATCAGCACAGAATCCTTTTCCCTTTATCCACCATGTTATCCATGCGTTTAGCTAATATTGCATAGCAATGGCGTAGTATTCACATGAAATAACAACTGTTATACTCTGATAAAATGGCGATCTGGCATTTTCAAGTCGGCCATATGCGGTTGTGAGAAGACCTGTCCAATTCCATTTTGATTTCTACACTGAAACCCAAACACCTGCAAAGTTTTTGGAGATGAAGTTATCGGATCCATTTTAAAGCTCATAAATTTAATTCTACTTCAATTGAACTTCAATTCTGCTGACTTTACATCAACTTTTCATCTCATGCATACCAAACTAGAGTGATGTGGTCTAATTTGTCTTTACAATCTGTGCTTCTCCATGTAAATACAAAGCGATCTCAATGCCGCTCTCATTGCTACACTCACCGGGCGTTAAGCAGATCCCACCTTTAGCGTGAAGACGAATAGAATAACATTCTTCAAGCACAGGCGGTGGCAGCGTCTCGAATACTTGGTGGGTTTGTGCTTGAAAGATAATTCACAACGGTCACGTACCCATGCCATAGCGGACTCCTTCATGGTAATCTATACACAGCAGAGGTGCTTTCATGAAAAAGTGAAAGAAAGAGCAAACGGAATTTTCTCAGACCTTTAGCGCCATCTGGTTGATACACTTCTTTTTACTAGGTGTACTCCTAGTGCTTCAAGACCGTTGGAAGTGGCTACATACAGGTCAACCCACTGATCGACGATTCTATCCGACCTTTTTGTGGAAGAAAAGGTCAACGAAATCGCAAAACGGTAGTGCAATCAGAGAAATGTTTACTATGTACGTTCAAAACCTGTCTTATATAGAATTCAGCAAAGTGATGGAATGAAATTGATATATCTACAAAATTCGCATCACTCATATATGGCAACACCAAAATCTGAAAAATTAGGAATAATATGTCTTCAGAACCAGCATAACTGATATTTAAAACTATCAGAAAAATACAAAACAGCAACACCGGGAGACCATGTTGAAAGTGTTGCTAATATCTCTGACAACGAAGCCGGGAACTACAATTGATATGTGCGCTGACACCGCATTCAGAAGATTAGAACCCATACTGTCATAAAGACCACAGATTTTGAAGAGTCAAGACATCTTGTTTCACTCTGGGCTCGAGATCGCGTGGCGACCCCGGATGCTGTCGCCCCTTGATTTGCCTCTCGCTCCGCATCACGACAGCACTTTAGTTCTGCTTCCAAATCATTATTGCGTTTTTTCAAAAAGTGTTTTTTTCGTGACTGATCTCCACTAAATTACTGACTTGCAAGAAACCGTTATGTCAAAAAAGAAAAGTAAAATAACGAATTTCGCTCAGCAAATGTGATACCCTTCGTGTCCGCCAAGCTACTGAGCGTAATGTTGATTGTATGAAGTGAGGTATTCCATCATCGTAGGCAAATGGGAACCTTTCGCCTAGTTCATTGACGATAGTTGATGTTCTTGAGGTTAGCCGATATCTTCACTCTATTTTAAAGCTCCACTGGACGTGGGAAGAGCTACAATTCTTTACAAAAACTGAACAAAAAAAAGGGAAAACTCCCGTGAAATAGACGTCATACGATACAATAGGAAACCTAATAGAGCTTTCTTAACAGATCTGCTCTTAATCTAAGCAACAAAAATGACCCGTGCAATAAGTATGTTGTGCATCGAAAGGCACACTCAATACGACAATCAGGAACATTCTCCATGAGTCTCGAAGAGGTCAAGATGAGCTTTCCTTACGCAGCAAATGGAACCCAAAAATTATCTTCTTCAAAATTTCTGGAAACATTACAGTCGTAAAATAGAGTGAAAACATCGGTTAAACCCAAGAATTTCAGCGTGTACTACCTGCAATGGATCAGACGAAAGGTGTCTTGATACGTCGACGACCTACCTCACCTTTTAAAATCATCATTACAAAAGGCAAAATAATTAGAAAAGCCAAACTATGCATCTTGCAGGATAAGATCACAGATGAAAATGCATTCAGAGCATTCGCTGGCTTCAAAAGTTGAGACTTTCGTGGCAAAGTAGAACATCATTGGTAGATATGTGCAGATGGCTTTTATCTCTACTAACAAAGTTTAGAGTTGACTGAGAAACATGCATCTAAATCTAAAGGTTAAAAACTAAAATGTTTCTTGTAAAAAAAAGGATATGAAGTGGTTAATAAGATATATAACCGAAAAATCTCATAAGGGTCGATAGCACAGTGGTAGTGATGCCCGTCATCACGAGTATAGTGCTAGTTCTATTCCGCTTCAGGCCAACCAAGCCTCTCATCCCTCCATAATCAAGGAATTCCTACCGGAATTGTCCGAGAAAAAATCCTAGATCAATCCCGTTGACGGGTGATTGCTGATGGCTCCGATCAATAGAACTAGCCGGAAGACACGCAAAACGAAGGACCCTCATGGTGTGATGGTGAACGCGTTCATTCCCCATCGCAGACACCTGTGGTCCGGAGTTTCGCAAATTTCTCAGCATCATCTTAGTTGTATTTCACGTGATACCCTGCCGCTAAAAATTATAGTAGGCAACAAATAAAAAGGTTAAGACTATTATTATTTCGTCTCTATAAGTATAACTACTCTGTATATTACAATTCTGCCTTCGTCAAGAAGCTTCGTGGAACACCATATCCATTGGCGTAGTGGCTGCTCGTGAAAGCAGTGGGAATTCAAGCAAGTTTCCGCCACCTGGGGCGAGCTATACGTTGTAGACTGATTAGTTGGCGATCTCACAATTGAGGGAGTTATGTGGCTTATTAATTCGAACATTGAAAATTCAGCTTTCCAATAACCGGATCGGTACCACCATATACAAAACATTAAGTATGTAATTCAAACCGAGTTGTATATGTCTGGAAATCAGCAAATTTTCAATGTTCGAATTAATAAGCCACATAAGTCCCTCACTTGTGAGATCCCCACTTGATCAGTTTACAACGTATAGCTCGTCTCGAGGTGGTGGAAACGAGCCTAAGGTGACATTGCACTTCCCTATGACGGAGCACTGGCGTGCCCGATTCACTTAAATCTTCTATACATAACGTATATCTGTGTACAACAGACTACATGCATACGACCTTCGATGATTTGCTGGTGTCTGTGTTGTAGGTGGAAAAATAATGGCCGATTTCATCGCTTTAGGCTTTACAATAAGATTTCGTTATTGATGTTACTATAGCCACCCATATCGTTTAGGGCTTCTCTATTGCATAACGACCCTCGATAGTACAACTTGTTCCGACAGACTTGACGACGTGTGTAGTGCAGTGGTTAGAGCTACCCTGTAATGCTCACAGGACCACACGCTAGGGATTTATCAATCTCTCCATCCCTCCGGACTCGTCGGATTTGCAGCAGAGTTCTCCAGGATAAATACACCGATTTGATACATCACTAGGACATCACAAGCTTTTATATAGGTCAGATATGCACTTAACCATCACAAGAAAACTCAGTGAATTCGAATAGGTGGCTCATCCGTCAGGGATTGATGAGATCCGAAGGTTTTGTTCTTCCCATCCCAACACTTGATTTGTGATGATTATAGGCTGGTTGAAATGATGTTCTGAAAGGTTAGAAAATTACATCGATTCGCCTGAGTTCATAACTAGACGCACTCCCACAGAAGTTTGAAATTCCAGCAAATCATGGCCCAGGGAAGCGCATTCGAGAACGTACAGTACAAATATAGGTCGAGAAGTTTGCTACTGGAGGATAGAGTTCTGATGGAGAAGATCGTTGACGCCAATCAGCGGTTGACAACGGCCATCTGAAGTGAAAATTGATGAAGAAGAACTCGATCTTCGATTAAACAACTGTCCATGGGTTGGAAACATTCAAACAATTAGAAAAGTGGATGATTGGTTCCGTATGAATCTATCGAGGTGCAGAGAGATTGTCGTTATGAAGTGTCTGTTCGTGCTTTTTTCGCACTATAAAAACGGCCCATTTCTAGAACGCAGTGTGTCGTCAAAAACTGATACAACTAGTTGACCTCATTCAGCACAACACTTGTGCTAAGTTAAAGTTTCTAGACGTTTCCTCTTTCTTAGGAGTAACAATGTACAGCAAGAACTGGGGCGGACGTATTGAGCACTGGCCACAGCAAAAGTCCAGTCTTCCTGCAGAACCACACTCGATCGATTGATGTACTTTTAATGCTGAAGCTGAGCGAATTGGTACATGAAACTCCGCCCCACCCACAGCACCTTCCCAACTTCTCGCCAATCAACCACTAGTTTCTTCTAAAGCCTAGACGCCTACCAACTAAGAGAACCTTCAACAACCAAAGGGCTGTTAGAAATGTCTTCCAAAAACCCATCACATCCGCGACTACAAAACTCCACACCTCTTAAGCAAATTCGTAGAGAACATGTAGCTCACAATGGTTCATAATTCCGCATGTCCAATTTCAGCTTATTACGGATATCTTCGTTTAACCTAAAGACCTAGAGAACCTAGGGATGACTAATTTAGCGATGTGAAGGCCATACTGCACAAATACTTGGATAAGTTACGTTTGAGCGCTGTTCTTGAAGTCGCTCATCCAATATCTTACTTTCGAAAGACTCACTTTAAGCCCCGCACTGATCAGAGCGTGATGCAGTCGGAAGCAGTACTAGAGCAATGAAAAAAACACATACAAGAGCCACTAATGGTATCTAAAAGACAAGTATGTTATACTACAACGAATACTAAAGATGCGATTTTACCTATGCAGTTAAGTGGTTACCTAAATATTTCAAAGATGTCGGAAGAAGCTTCACATTACTATAAGGCCCAAGAAGTTACGGAACACGTACGCCAGAAGTTTGCTATGGCATTTCACCAAAACCGAATAAAGCAATACCACGTTTTCACACCTGATTCAGTGTCAAATATGTAGCAGTTCTGGGGCAAATGGAGAGATGAGCCAAGTTACACGCCAACAATTTCCTTGTGAGATCAGCACAACGATCGCATGACGTCACACGGCGATAGTTCCTCTCGTTTACAATCGCATACAGGTATGAGTAGTACGCAACATCTGCAGCTGAAGTAAAACCTGAAAAGAAGTGGAAATGAATAACACGCTGTGTCAGTCTTCTGCAGAGTTATTAATACTCGACCATTTTTCGAGCACGACAAACAGAACTCGTAGAATGAGAGACAAATGACGTCATCGTCCGATTATCTGTAGACAACAACCGAACAATGAGTCCATAAAGGCAATCTGAACTCAAAAAAAAGCGTTCAACAGCACCAACGCACCGAAGGCAATTTGCATAAGTCGTATCTGTACTATGCCTTCGCCTCACAAAAGAACAATTCAGTTTAACGACCGACACGCGCCCTCAAGCACAACCACCGGTTTTTAGCAAAGAGCATCCGTCAGAGAGAACACAGGTACCTGTAAACATACAGCAGTTGAGTATATTTTAAGAGTCTCAAAACGTAGCAGAGTTCGTAACTCCAGTTGAATGGTACTTATCCACGTGAACAGACTACACATTTCATACTTTGACAAAAAGAAGGTAAAGAGGTCACTAACTAAATCGAACGAATTGTCTCCAAAACTCAACCACTCCACAACTAGCAAACTCCTCCTTGACAAGAAACGTTTGTAGAATTTCAGCAAAAGCTAAATGACTGAAATGTAGCAAACACAAATACAACCAGCATGGGAACGCTCTGAGTGGTGGTGTACCTTGAGTGGCTAAGCTAACGTATAGACACCTTACCAAAAATAGCATTTGGAAATAGGTCCAAAACGGAAAGAACATACCGTAAACTTTATCTAGAGTGAAGTTCTTATGGGGTGAAACCAAATACTGTGTGAGGAAAGGTGTGGTCGGTCGAAGTCCCTTCGTGATACCATAAACACAAAACAGAATTGTGGTAGTCTTCCAATGCATAGCGACAATCGTATGGATGCTGGGGTAGAATCAGAACCTAAATAAGAGGCCAAAGCTTGAAAGATGTTAATATTTAAGATGACATGAATATAACATCGCAAACATCTTTGTAAACGCTAAGCCGATACCTGCACGAATCAAACGTGAGCACACCCAAAAATCCAGCCCCTCAGTTTCGAATTTTCCTTGTAAATTGTGACTTCCAGTGAAATTTTTTCGAAACCATACAAGATAGCTCTGTTACTATAACAGCACTGAAAGGAGGAATGAGACTTTGTTGCAGAGACAAATGGTTTAGTTCAGACAGCAATTTTGAAGAGTTAACGAAGAAAGAAGTCGCTGCTTAACCTTTCGCAGATGACCCCACTGGTAATTGCCGAGTGACGTCGGGAGATGGAAGTGGTCGTCGGGTGAGTGTGAGTGCCACTCATACGACTCGTAAAGCTCTTATTCAACTAGCCAGCCATATGAGCATCTCTGGAATCCTTATTAATTCGACTGCCAAAAAGGTTCAGTGGACCCACCTCAACGGACATGAACAGCATCGTCTTTTAGAATAAAGCCCCTCATTTTTTCTATTTCTACAAAAAAGACAACTAAGGATAGATCGCCTAAACTTCCCTGCTGACATAAGTCAACTTTTATATGGGCTTCTGGATGGAAATCCTGGACTTCTCACACCAATCCTTCCACATGCTTTAACAAAGTCGTTAAGCATACGTTCCGCTTAGCGAATGTTTGGTGTTATAAGGACGATGTCACCAGCAAAGCGAAGATGATGTAACTGCCGACCATCGATTTTCACTCTCATATTATCCCATTCCAATGTTCGCATGACGTTCTGGAGGGTGGCGATAAATAACTTTGGCGAGATGGTATCGCCTTGCCTAACTCATAACAGGTATAACATTGTGATTTCAACTACAGCCGCAGCTTAACTGGGTTCTATGCAGATTTGGGCGCCCCAGTTCAATCCCGCTGACGGGTGATTGCTGCGGCAAAAGATCGATAGAAATAGCTGAGAGACAAGCGAAACGAAGGACCCGCATGGTGTGGTGGTGAACGCGTTACTCCCCGTAAAGGACAATAGCGCGTTCGTTCCCCACCATTGACACCTGCGGTCCAGACTTTTGCAAATATCTCAGCAACGTTGTGGTGATACCTTGGTTGTGAAATTTTTGTACAGCTCACGAAGAATCTTTAAGTACTGGGTAGGGGCTCCTTGACTATCAAATGTTTCCATGAGTGCTTCTATCTCAATTGAATCGAAGGCCTTCTGCAATTCGATGAAAGTGAAACAGAGCGGTCTTTTGTACTCTCGCGGTACTTCAACGAGCCTTGTTATCGTGTGGATGTGGTCCATCGTTTCGTCCTTTTCGAAACCCTGTTTGCTCACATGGCTGTCCTTCGCCCAATGTGTTGTCAATCCTGTTTAAGATGACTCGAGTGTAAAATTTGTAGACGACAGATAGCAAGCAAACTGGGCGATAGTTGTCGATATCGCGTAAGTCACGCTTAAGAAGACCAATACAACAGAGAAACGCACAGATGTCCAGCCTCCCTTCTCACCTCGAAGTCGAGGTTTAAAGAACAAAGAAAGAAAAGAGAAGACAAACTCGCCCATGGCGGCGCTCTGTGGAAGAGGATGGAGTGAAGCCGTGCGTTATGAATGTAGTGCGAGCTTCGACGACTCTCTGTGTTACTGGAACTTAGTAATTGTTAAAGACTGGTGGTTACTGACATCTCTAGGAAACATTGAGGAATTTTTGATTAATCACACTAAAATGCGCCACAGCTGAAATGTTTAGCAATTCGAAACAGCACGAAAACACCACTAATTGATAAGGATATTTTGAAAGCAATTAAACAACCCTTCCCTTACTTACTTTCGTTGAGGTTACGTGTTTACGCAATACTGCCAAATCATCTTTTAAATACCGTAACTCCCCCGGATAGCCCTAGTGTTGGACGAGGTAGTTCTCGCCATCTGTCCCTCTCTTTTAACGAAGTCTGTTTGGTACCAGTTCAGAGTTACCAC